TCTTTGTTGCTCTTCTCTGTACTCTTTCTAGAGTCTCAACATCTTTTTTACATCGCGGTGACCAAAACTGGATGCAGTATTCCAAGTGTGGCCTTACCAAGGCATTGTAAAGTGGTATTAACACTTCACGTGATCTTGATTCTATCCCTCTGTTAATGCAGCCTAGCACTGTGTTGGCCTTTTTGGCAGCTGCAGCACATTGCTGGCTCATATTTAGATGATTGTCCACTAGGACTCCGAGGTCCCTCTCACAGTTACTACTATTGAGCAAGGTACCCCCTATACTATACCTGTGCATTTGGTTTTTCTTGCCTAAATGTAGAACCTTACTTTTTTCACCATTGAATTTCATTTTGTTATATAGTGCCCAGTGTTCAAGTCTGTCCAGATCCTTCTGTATCTTAAGCCTGTCTTCTGGAGTGTTGGCTATTCCTGCCAGCTTGGTGTCGTCTGCAAATTTGATGAGTTCCCCATCTATCCCCTCATCCAAATCGTTGATGAAGATGTTGAAGAACACTGGGCCCAGAACAGAGCCCTGGGGCACCCCACTACATACTTCCCTCCATGTAGATGCAGTTCCATTGAGGACCACACGCCGAGTACGGCCGGTCAGCCAGCTACGAATCCATCTGGCGGTCACCCACATTTTTCTATCTTATCAAGTAGTAGGTTGTGATCTACTTTATCAAATGCCTTACTGAAGTCCAAGTAAATTATATCCACAGCATTCCTCTGATCCACTAATTTTGTCACTTGGTCAAAGAATGCAATAGGATTTGTCTGGCATGATCTATTTTTGACAAACCCATGTTGGCTTTTAGTAATGACTTTGTTTGCCTCTAAGTGTTCGCTGATTTGTTGTTTGATTATCTTTTCCAGGATCTTCCCAGGTATTGAGGTCAGGCTGATAGGTCTGTAATTTCCTGGATCCATTTGTTTTCCTTTTTTGAAGATGGGAACTACATCAGCTCTTTTCCAGTCCTCTGGTAGTTCCCCAGTGATCCAGGATCTTTGAAAAATATAGTTCAGTGGTTCTGAGATCACATCTGCCAGTTCCTTGAGAACCTTGGGGTGTAATCCATCTGGTCCTGGCGATTTGAACTCGTCTAGGCTGGACAGGTGCTCACTTACCATTTTCTTGCCTATCTTAACTTGTGTTTCTATTCTGTTTTTTATGGTACTATTTTTGATAGGTTGGTCTGTTTTTTCCCTTTGTGTAAAGACAGATGCAAAAAACGAGTTAAATAGTTCTGCTTTCTCCCTGTTGCTTGTCACCTTCTTGCCATTTTCACCCACTAATGGACCAATAATTTCCTTCACTTTTTTCTTGTTTTTTACATGTTAAAATAAGCTTTTTTGTTATTTTTGACTTTGGTTGCAAGCCTTAATTCATTTTGAGCCTTGGCTTTCCTCACTTCATCTTTGCAGGCTCGGGCTATTTGCTGATATTCTGACTTAGTTATGTGCCCCTCTTTCCACTTTCTATGTCCAATCAGAAATAAATATGTGGCTTATTTTTAATCAGAAGGAGTTTGGTAGCATCTGATACAACTAACACATTTTATTAAACAGTTTTAGGTTTTCAGTTTATGCCTTTGAATACAATTGATTAATTGAAAAAGGTCCTCCACTTCTGAACTTTTGCCACCATAGACTAACATCACCAGCTGTAAGGAGAGTTTGATAGATTGCTTTCAACATAAAAAGGATTTGTTCCTGATCTTCTTCCATAGGAAAAGTCTGTTCCTGATCTTCTTCCATAATGATGTATCAGACTAGAACAGTGGTTCTCAACCTGTGGGTCGGGACCCCATTTGGGGTCGATCGACCATTTCATGGGGGTCGCCAAGCAAGGCTGTCCGCCATTTTTTCCCCCTTTTCCGGCGGGTGCCTTACCTCTCTTGGGCTGGGCGAGCTGGTGGTCGGCCTGCTCCGTCTGTGCCGCTTGCCAGCTACGCCTCAGCCGGCGCAGGGGGCGGAACCACGCATGCGCGGCGCTCCCGGGCAGGGAAAGTCCTCGACTTACAACCGGTTGGGTAGTCCTTGACTTACAACCGGCTTAGTCCTTGACTTATGACCGGTTTAGTCCTCGACGTACGACCAGTTGGGGTCGCGGCATTAAAAAGGTTGAGAACCACTGGACTAGGAGCTTTACAATCAGGAAGTCCAGAAAGAGAGTCTTTTTTTCCCACTAAGTAAAAAGCACAGCTGAGCTTCTCACAGCTGGTGTTTCAAAGTTACCCAAGTCTTATCTACTTTCTGGGCTGTCAGCCAAGTACTTTTAGACAGTAACAAGTAGAAGTATCAGGTTTAGCCACAAGATGTCGCCCCAAAGTTATTTTAATCTTTTCAGTTTTCAGGTTTAAGGAAAAACCCAGATCTTGCTATGGATGAGCGGAGAGAGGCAAGAGGAAAGGAGGACACAGGTCTTTGTGAGCATGGGGAGGCCCAGAGTCACAGTCACAGTTAATAGTCTGTGGACACCGTGCACACTGCAGATGCTGCAACTATCATAAGTGTTGGCTAGTTGTCAAGAGCCCAAATTTTGTTCATGTGACTGTAAGGGTGCTATGAGAGCCAGAACTTTAAGTACCACTCATTCTGTTGGAGAAGGAGTGGCAGAACCTGAGGGCAGAATTAAGAATCCCTACATAGCCAATTTCAAGCAGGTACTAACTGTTAGTTAAACATTAATATTCTCAACTAAGGGTTAGCACTTCCATGGAATTAAATAAGGGTCAGCAGAATTCAAGGGAGGTTGGACTTAGATTGCTTATGGCTACTAGAGATTCTAAGCTGATCCCTTTTTTAACTTTGCCCCCAGGTTCTGCCATTCTTTCCCCTACACATTTAGTGCCTTCGCAACTTTGAAGGATCACTGAACAAGGGATCAGTAAGCAAGGACTATCTGTAATGTTACCCTTTTAATAACCATACAGTTTGCCTTCTTCTGTGAAACAGGTTGCTGTCTTCTAAAAGCAACAGGGGAAACAGCCTGCTTCTTCTAACTGGAGATATTAACAGAATGTCCTTGCTAGCATGTTGCTAGATAAACCAATTTTCTGACTTGACACTGAGCTGTTGTTTGGACTTGATTTACCTAAATGACTGTAGTTCTATACAAGGTGGCTAGATCTATTCTTATTAAATCATAGTAAAGCATACACTTTGTTCCTATTAGGTCAGAAAATAATTAATCATGTACCCTATTATCTTAGATTCCTGATCTAATTTCCAATTGAATACAACTTTCAAAGGATGAACAACATTAATTGGTTGCAGCAAAATCAATATTTGTCTCTAAAACTAGACTATGGTTGCATTGCATATGATAATAAGTGCTTCATTTTTCTCTTGGCAGAAATATATCGTCCAACACATCTTGGCTCTGCTACTTTGTTTTCCTCCTTTTCCCCAACAGCAGCACTAGAAATTTTTGCTGATCTCCAGAGAGCAATGAAGAGTTTTGTTCTAGAGAATGATCTGCACAGTGTTTATTTGGTAGGTGTGTGTGTGTGTGTGTGTGTGTGTGTTTATGACAGTAGTGGATTAGATTTAATGTATCTATCAAACATATTTAACCCTTGTTTGAAAGTCAAGACGCAACATAGAGCAATAAAGTGAATTCTCCATTTTATTCACCATTCCAAAGAAGAACAGGGGGACTGTAAGGTAATCCTGAATCTTAAAACACTGAAATGAAGGTACAGAAGGACATAAAAATCAGATGTGGAAGCCATCTTACCAGGCAGCATATACTTTAGGTGTTAATGGATTTATCAGAAGAATATATGTACTTGCACACTGGAGATTCCTCAGATTCACTTACACAGCATGATTCCAGATCATGACTCCTATTTGGCCTTGCATCAGCTACATGGATATTCTGCAAGATTTTTTTTTAAAAGTTTTATTATTTTTTTAACAGAATTCAATAATAATTATTCAACAAAAACATGTTGTCTGAGTATCTTATTCACTAATACAAATTAAATTCCTAATCCCTAAATCTTTTCTCAAACCAAGTTTGAAAATATTCTGTTTCTTCTTTTTCTTTCAACCTTAAAGTAAGTCTGTCCATTTCTGCACAGTCTAATATTTTTTTGATTATTTCTTCTGGTGGTATTTCTTCGTTCTTCCAATATTGTGCAAATATAATTATTGCCGCTGTTATCACATGTAGAATCAAATATGGACTTTACTTATCAAGTTTTTCTGACATTATACCTAGTTTAAAAAATGCAGGTTTATAGTCTGTGTTTCTCTAACATTTTTTCTAACCAAGTGTGGATTATTGTTCAATATCTCCTTGCTTGAACACATGTCCACCACATATGATAATAAGTACCTGGTTTGTGTTTATATTTCCAACATTTCTCTGACATTTTTTGAAACATTTTTGCTAATCTTGGTGGTGGCAAGTGCCACCTATAGAACATTTTATATAAGTTTTCTTTATATGAAGTTAAATTTTCAATTTATAGTTTTTTCCCAACAAATTTTGCCACTTCTCTAAGTCTATATTATATCCAAAATTCTTTGCCCATGCTATCATTGTCTCTTTTACTTGTTCATCTTCCATTTTGAAATTTAATAAGAAATTGTACATTTTTAATTAACTTTTCATCAGAAGTTAATAATGTCTGATCAAACATAGTCCGCTCTTTATAAAATCCATACTGTTTAATATTTTTGTTGTATCTGACTTGCATTTGTAAACGTGACCACCATGTTAAATCGATGCCCTGATTTTCCATCTTTTGCCTGGATTTTAAGTTCCCTTCAGAATTTAGAATATCTTTGTATGTCCATATTTTATCGAGACTGACTAGATTTGGATGTACAAATGCTTCCATTGTTGAAAGCCATCCTGGAATTTTCAGATAAATTTTACATTTTATTTTTTCCCAAGTTAATAATAGTGCATTTCTCTCCTGTTTAAAGAGTTCCCTCGGTCTGTTTGGGCCAACCACCGTTGGCTCCAAACTCCCAAGGTTTCCCTTCCTCCTTGTTGCCTCTCCAGGGCGACTTTCTGACGCCTTTGGGTCTCCAGACGAAGTGAAATCGGATTAGGAAACTGGAGCTCCAGTTTCTTTCATCCGTGTCGCCATGATACTCGGGGTGAACTCCTGGATATTCTGCAAAATTATTTATCCTTGTGTGCAATCTTATTTAATTTCTATGCCTAGATTATTTCTCGGTCAGAGCCTCTATCAAGTACATGGCTACAGATAGACTTCTCAGTAAACACTGTACACTCACACCAGTACACTCACACACTGTAACTGGAGTACAAAAATCTTCCCCCTCCAACAAGCTAGCAAAGCGATGGATTAAAAAGCAAAGGGCAATCTCATATGAATATTATGTATTATCCTCCTAGAGCTAAATTAGGACTCGTATTAGTAAAACACAATTTCAACCAACATAAGATCCATTTCTTTTTATTATGAAAAATGTTCAATATTTCTCCAAAGAAATTGAAATCTTGTAATTTGAAAACTAACTCAGTTTGGGCGGATTTTTTTTGTAGGTCACTCCTGTTTATGAAGACTGGACCAAAATAGACTGGTACCAATTCTTTTGCTTGTGGGAGAAGCTGCCTGCCTCATTGAGAAGAGTAGCACAACTTGTGGGAATTGAAGAAAGTTTTTTGGCTTGTTCCGTCAAAGGCAACATCATTGCTAAAACAGAGAAGCAATATAGGCAAATGGCTATCCACAAAAGGTAATGACTCAATAATTTTTTATTGATTGATGTATACTGTATAACAGTGCTGCAAAATTTGTCTCTTATCTGCAGCAATTTCTATTTGTTTAGCTGGAAACAATTATTACTGATGAGTTATTTTTGCTGCAGCTTTATAATCTCTAATTTTTTCACACCACAGAGAAAAGTTACCCAGGATACAGTTGTCTATCTTTTTGCTTCCCATTTTATCAATTTTTCTTCCTCTTTATCAAATATCTGTTTGGTCGCTTTGCTTTCTTTCACAGAAAGAAATTGTATCTTAATTAATTTTATTAATACAGATTTTTTACAAGCTTGGCTCTTCTGGATTTAATAAATGAAGTTCCTTTAAAGGATGTTGCGAAGAAATATGGCTGTAGTCGTGGACAGCTTCAGTCTTTACAACAGTCTGCCGCTACATATGCAGGTAAGAAATTACTGATAGTGTTCCAAATAAGCAATTAACAGCAATTTAGGTGACAGCCTGGTTTAATAAATCAATCTCCATTTTTCAGTCAATTTCATTATTAAGTAGATACTTTGTACATGCATTTTCTCAACAAGCAAAACGGAAAAGATGATAAATTTCCATACTTACATCATTATCATTACATTCATTCTCATTCTTCCATTATGGAGCACTGGTAAAGATTAAAATAGGTCCAACAGCCATTTGTACAACAAAACCAAGATAGAAGGAATGTTCACATCATTAGCTATGACTGAGCAAGATTTACTGAACATGTTCTTTAAGCCAGGGAAAAAAAATATACAAGCTTTCAACAAATCATGACAATATTTTCTTGTTTGATGGGAATTACCTGTAATTGCCTCTCTCACTTGATAAAACAGCCTGGAATGTGCACACAAAGGTAGAAATAGCCTCCATATGTGGGGAACCATGGAGAAAATCTATGTGGTCATTAAGATTCAATAACAATGGCACATAAAGATCATCAAGATGTGGGGAATAAATTATTTCCACAATTGTTCCTACCTTGCTTTGCTACAGGAAATTGTCATTTGTTTCCTCCAGCTTCCCACAAGCAAAGTCATTGGGAAAGCCAGCAGGAAGCTGGAAATTGTTCCTCTTCTTGCTAGTTTTCATCTACCCGTGCTCTATCCCCATGCCATCTGTTACACTTGCCTGCCCATGGGGTCTCCCCACAATACCCACAGAACTTTCCCACTGGACTGCTTGGAGTGCTTGGGCTTCTGCCTCTTCCTGCTTAACAACTCACAAATCCTGGTGTTACTATGGCAGTTGGGACTGCTGGGATTGTTGTCAGTAAGTGAATGCAATCACATAGCGCAAGTCGTGCTTTTATGATGGCGTTGCTTGGCAATGGAAATTCTTGTCCCAGTTGCCATCATAACCCAAGGAATACTTGTAGGAAAAAAAATAGAAAAAATATATTGAGGATTTGCAAAGCAGAAAAATTACATTAAGATTTACAGGATGGTAAAAGAAAAAGAAAAAGTTATATCATCTTTGCAGGTCATATAGAATTGGAACAGATAATTTTATAAAATATCAATTTAGCATAGTAAGAATATTAAATTCAAATCAGAAATCAAGACAAGCAGGCAAGTTGATAAGAAATATCAATCATTAAGTTGTTAAGAATATAATAATTAGCAAGAAATTCCAACTTATATGAAACAGTAACTTGGTGGCCAATCAGGCAAAATCTAACGTTTTAAATGTAGCAGAAGTCTTTGAGTGCAATTATAGTTCATCAGTGGTCCCCAACCTAAATGTTAATATCAGACATTTTGGATTAAAAATTATTTTAATATTAATACATTAACCTTAGCTCCTTTCCTCTAGGGAAAAAAAGGAAAACAGAATACAGACACATACTATACTGTTCTAAACAATCTACAGAGAGTTCCTTGGCTTTTTCAGACTTAAGGAGGTGTATTTCCACAAATTGCTTTGCATAGAATATCTGGGAAATACTGCTTTTCCTTTGAGTGTGTTCACCAAAATTGTAGTGCCATTGATTCCCCCCTCTTCCGGCAACGGAGGACTCATTTTTACCAATATTTAACTATTTACTCATTCAATTTTCCTCATATTAGCAGTTTAGACAAAATGTCTATTCTTGGCAAGTGCAAGGTTTTCTGGAATAAGTTTTGTAAATGTTAAAAAGCCCCATTATTCATCTTAAAAGATACCACCTAGGAGAGGGAAAGTAGTGCTGAACTCATTATCAGGTACAAACAAACAAAATTTAGTACATTGTAAGACAAATGTGGAGATAGAAGGTCACATTAGTAATGATTGAACATAAACACAATATGCTTATAAGTTTTCTTTAGATCATTTGATTCAGAGAAAGATATTCTTAGCATAGCCAGACAATATAAAAGCTCAAAATTGTTAAGTTGTTCAAAAGGCATCCATTCTTGTGCTTTAATGCATTAAAAGTTTTTTTCTTGACTGAGTTGTGCTACATTTGCTGGATGATTTAAACATTTAAACATTTGCTAGATGATTATTCCATGTGAGAGAACATACCCCAAGGGAATCTGAGTTTTCAAAATTTTCAGAGAGACATTCACTAATATGGAATGGCAGATTCAATCTTTTTCCTCTTCTATTTATATTTTTAAATATATATTTCTATATTCCAGGGATGATTACTGTTTTCTGTAACCAGCTGGGATGGCACAACATGAAACAATTGCTGTCCCAGTTTCAGAGTCGCCTTAATTTTGGAATTCAGAGAGAACTCTGTGATCTTGTCCGGATATCTTTGCTAAATGCACAGTGTGCTAGAGCTCTTTATAATGCTGGCTTCATCACAGTGGCTGATGTAGCTAAAGGGACTCTTGAGGAAGTAGAAAATGTTTTCAGAAATGCAGCACCATTCAGAAGGTAGGAAAACATTTCAGTATTGCTGAAAATTATCCTTTTTATGTAGTGTAACTTGAGGAAGCTTAAGCTACTGGATAATAGTTTGCTTGGATACAATTCAAATACTCTTGGATTCTCCATCAGTGAGAGGTTACAGCAGGCAGGAAAAGTACAAAAGATGCTAAAGTCCCTCTTCCTGTCAAGTTAACCATATTTGCGATCTTACTTCAAGGAGGGAAGAAAGAACTTAACAGACTTTTTCCTTTGCAACATATTTGTCTTCGTTTTATTCCTTCTACTCTGGAGCCATTTAGCTGTGTAAGATCTCTTGGTAACTGACATACTGATTTTCACTGTTTTGGTCAGATAATTAGATAATCCTTGTCATCCCACCCAGACTAAAGATATTGCTGTCCACAATCATTTCCAACTTGCGCAATTTGGTTTATTGACAAAATTAAAAATCCAATTTTTATGGGAAATAAGTAGTCCTTTTTTAGTGGGTAGAAGACAGTATCACGCTTAGGTGTGTGTGAGATATATATAGAAAACAATTCCATACATGACTCACTTTAATTAGAGATTTTACTATTATTTCCACAGCCCCTTGGTTACTGATTGGTTTTTTCCCCCTGCCTCCCAGTGTTAACTTAATCCAGAGAACCACTTTAGTGTAGTGCTGAGGCATAGTGTAGTGTAGGAACTGGGACACCATGAGTTCTAGTCCCCACCTTAGGTACAAAGGCAGCTGGGTGACCCTGGGCCTGTCACCCTCCCTCATCCTAGGAAGCAGACAATGGCAAACTACTGAAATCTTCCCAAGAAAATTGCAGAAATTTATCCAGGCAGTCACCAGAAGTCAGCATTAACTCTAAAGCACCCCAGAAATATCCACACCTTAGTTCGTCACAAATATGTTGCCATTTTCTGTTTAAAATGCTTATATATGAAATTATTCCAAGGAGTGTTTTCTTCTATTGAAGAACATAAAATTATAAAAAGTTGGAATTAACGATTTGTTCCTTGCTGACTTTATAGTAGGTCAAAATTTACAATATTTAGCTCATGCTTTCCCACTTTCTTTCCTTAGGCACTGCAATGTGATACTCAGGTATATATACAAAATAGCTTATAAATAGTTCATAAATTATCAGTGACATAAGCGATTTTTTATTTCCTTTTAATTTATTTATTTGTATCCTACCTTTATAATTTTTACAAATAACTCAAGGTGGAAACATATCCAACACACCTCCCTCCTCCTATTTGCCCCACAACAACAACCCTGTGAGGTGAGGTGAGAGTGAGGGACTGGCCCAAACTTCTGGCCTTCCTCTTTCTTTCTATCTCTGTGCCTTAACCACTAAACCAAACTGACTCTCTGAACTCCATTTCAGCTCCATATTCCTATACTTCATGAGTCTTGTATAAAGAGTGGTAGCTTGAAATCTTTACATATAGTCCCTAATTAATCCCCACTAATTAAGACCAGAATTTTTATCACTGAGTAATGCAGTTGCAGGTGTAACATCACATGACTGCATCACTCGGTGACATTAGTTTCAGTAGTCCCATTTCTGGCCATTAGTCCAGGCTCTCATTCTTCTGCCCTGCCACACTCACCTCCACTGCAACTCCTCCAGCTGCCTATCTCCCTCATCTCTGCCCTTTGAGGCACCCTCCATTCCACCACCTTGTGTGCCCCCATTGCCCTACATGCACTCGTTGCTCTTCTGAAATTAGCTTATTCCTTCACTAGATGGCTGCTGGCCATCCTTCTTATGAGGCTTCAGAAGGCCTCCGGAAGAAGGCCTCATAGTCAGCGGCTGCCTTGTGGAGGGCCAGACTGGACATCAGCAGTGGGAGGAAACAGATGACAAAGATCAGTTGGGGCAGCAGAGGCAGCTAAGTGCAGGGCCGCCAAAAGGGCAGAGATGGGGGGGGAGTAAGTGGGTGGAGGGAAACTGAACTGCATCCTGTGAATGCAGCAGGCGGGCTGTCAAGCACCCATTTTGATCACCCTGGGGGTGCTGCAGCTTTGAGGACTGGGCATCAGTACCATTCATTCAGCACCATCATAACTTCAAATGGTTGCTGAACGAATGGTTGTTAAGGGAGGACGTCCTGTAATATGCTTGTGTGCCTTGCACTCCCTCCCATATATCTATGGGGATTCTCAATAATCCAGGTTATGGTTGTCCCTAAGGTGCTTTTTTTAAACAAAACAAAAACAAAAGGCAACTGGACTTTGTCTTTTGTTTTTCTCTGAAAACCTTTCATTTCTTATCCAAGAAGCTTCTTCGGTCCTAACTTAAGTGGTGGGGAATGGAAAGATTTATATCCTTGCAGTCAGCAAAGAATCATTCAGGCCACTTGGGGGATTATCTGTATCCCCGGAGTCACCTGAATCAGAGTGCAAATGGGAGTGGAACCTTCTTGGGACTGCGGAAAGGACTGCATTCATTCCCTCCCAACTTTTTTCCTTTCATTTGGCTGTTGCCCCACTTATTTTTTTTTATTTTTTTAAAGAAATTTTATTTATTTTTTCAATCATAAAAAAACAATCATAAGTAAACACAATGACAATAACCCCCCCCCCGGACTCCCCAAACCTAATCCCAGGATAATATTCATATGAAAGTAAACAAATACTAATATCTCTAACTCTACAAAATATCTTAATCTACAAGAAAAGATAGTAGAAATAAACCAACTTGCAAAATTAAAAACCTAACCTGTATTCTACCACTTTATATTTCTTTTGAATATAAACAATCCATCTTCCCCATATTG